AGGTGGTCCGGGGCCAGACTATGGAAGGTCATGCAGGTTTGGTTGTACTTTGATCCTCAGAATAACAAGCACATAGTTAAACCGTTTTAAGCAGGGGAGTGACAGGATCACACTTGATTGCTGTGTGGAAGTCCAACTGAAGTGGAACAAGGATAAAGGCAGAAAGAACAGTTAAAAGGCCAATGTTGGGCCGGCCCGGTGGCGCACTGCTACAGTGCGCCGCTTGTGAGCGTGGCGGCTCTCCCGCCGAGGGTTCGGATCCCACATACAGACCGGTTCCCGCTCACTGGCTGAGCGAGGGGCGGGCGCAGCACCGAGGGTTGCGATCCCGTTGCCGGTCCCGGTCCGGTACGGGTGCGACACTGAGGGTTGCGGTCCGTTGCCAGACACGAAAAAAGACAAAAAGGAAAAAAAAAAAAAAAAAAAAGGCCAATGTAGTAAAATCCAGTTTAAAAAGGTAGTGACCTGCACTAAAGTGATAGAGGGGTGGGAAGAAACAAATTTGACAAAAATTTAAGAGAGAATCATCAGGGCTATGATAATTACTAGAAGAAGCTCTGAATTCAAAATGTTCTTCAAGAATGAAGTTTCATACACAATATACTAACCACAAACCAAAAATTTTTCCAGTAATCAACATTAAAATATATACTTTAGTGTTTTCATATCCAGTAGCTCATGTAAGCACTACCTTCCTTGCTCATCTATTGAACAAATTCCTCCTAAAATTTGCTATTCAGATAAAAATCTCTATAAACCAGTGGTTAACCTTTGTATGCATGGAACCCTTTGAAAACTCTGATAAAAGCAAAACAAGTAACTACACACACAAAAATTGCATATTAGACCACAAGTTAAGAAGTCCTGTTGTAAACTAACTTATACATGCTTCTCTTGTTTTTTAGAGTTTTAATAATTTTTCAAAATAATAGTATGGAAAAACAAAATGGGCAACTACTTTTAACAACTTATATTGAGTTCTAATAGTTATTCTTCATCTTTCTAAATACACTTCCAGCACTATTTTTTGAGAAATTGGTATATTTACCCCACCACTACCCCCTCCTCTCCTTCCCTCTTGCCTTTCAATATGTTACAGTACTCTTTAATCTCTCTTTTTATAACCTTTCTCTTTAAATTATATGTTCAAACCTCTGTTTCTTCTTCCACTAATTTCCACTGATCTCTATTGAATCCTAATTTTATAAAACACGGATATTAATACTCTTACCCTTTACTCCTCTTCTTCCCCCACCCCGTTTCTCTCAGCTTCTTAATTTCTGTCCATGGTACTTACAGGGTTGATAATTGCAGAACGTAATGTAAATGTTAAGTTTCTTGTGCTTTTCTATAGATGAAATACACTTCCTTTTAATCAGACAATGAGAATTCTATACCCAATCATGTTCCCATTTTTGCCTTAGCAGCCAGGATTTTTAGAGGTTGATATAGTGCTCAAAATAGCTAAAATGCATCTTCTAACAAATGACTTATCATCTTTATCTTTAGCCATTCTCTTACAGTGTTTTAATGTTATAAGTAGTTTCAAATCCTCTTGGAAATAAGCGGGATAAAAAACATAAATTAAGGGCCAAGCCCCTGGCGCACTCGGGAGAGTGCGGCGCTGGGAGCGCTGCAGCGCTCCCGCCAAGGGTTCGGATCCTATATAGGGATGACCGGTGTGCTCACAGCACTCACTGGCTGAGCGCGGTGCGGCCGGTCTCAAAAAGGACAAAAAAACAAAAACAAAAACAAAAAAACCATAAATTAAATTTGTGTAAAATAACTATGAAGCTGAGAATCAAATTTTAAATAAATTATATCAGTAGATACTATGTTAAGTTTTCTGATGTAATTTGGGAGACTGGAAATCTAAGGAGATTGGGAGATTAGATTCCAGTGTTTGTGAGCAAGGGAAAAGAAACCTCCAGGGGTTTCCAATCTCACATGAAGGAAAATCTTTGTATGGCCACAAATCTGTACATCATCTAGTATGTTAGTTCATCTAGTATCTGTAGTCAGTTACCTACTACAAGTGTCACTTTTCTGGCTTTTACCATTCTATCATTCACGCCATCCAGCCACTCTGGGCTCCCTCGACTTCCTCGAACTCTTGACATTACATATACTGTTTCATTCAGGTCTCTGCTCAAAAGTTACTTTATGAAAGGCCTTCCCCCCACCACCCTATATAAAATGTCATACACATCCCACCCATCATTGTTTATCCTCTAACCTTGCTATGTTTTTATTTGTAACATTTACCACTAGCTGACACTATGTATTCATTTATTATGTCTCCCCAGCTAGGATATAAACTCAGGAGAGCTGAGGACTTTTTTTTTCCACTGCTGTATCCCTGGTGTCTAGAACAAAGACCAGAATAAAGTGGTTACATGAAAGAAATGAACTTGTGAAGTTTTTTGAGAGGATAACATTCCAAGCATCTGGGACACTTCCACGGACAACACAACGGCACTTTCACAGAGCAATCTCTTAATATTTGTTGAAATTTATTTGTGAAGACACAGAGAAACTAGTATCTGAACCCAAAGTAGGTAGCAATTCAGAATTACAGCCTATTAAAAGCCCTGATTTCTGCTGAGATCCAGGAGTTCTTCTCCCAGAATTTTCTCCTAAACTTTGCTTCTGCCCAAAGAGCAGTTACCAAATTATTTTTCAGACACTAACGATTCTTCTTATATGGACTCAAGTCCTAATCTTTGCCATTAATTCTATTCTACACCCTTGAAAATCCCAGCTGGTGAGCTGAGTGACACATAGCAGGCATTCAAATTACTTCAGTTAATGAAGTGAGCAATACCCTGACTATATCTTGGAATCCTCCTGATTCAAGCATCTTCTTACTCATGTACTTAGATCTTCAACCCACTAAGAGGGTTCAAGAGGGGAAGAGATAACAGTGTTAACAGTCAGCTTCCATTTTAAAAAGTGGAAGCAATGTAACTATTTGATGTGCCCGCAAGCTCTTTAAACTGTAATTCTACTTTAATTATGAAATGTACACAAAGTAGGAATTGATACAGATTAAGAAACGGGGGTTGAAAAGGCACAACCAGATTGGCTATGAATCGCCTACTTTGGGTCACTTTCAAATCTGATAGTTTTCCCAGCTATCCTTTGTTCGAGGGCAAATGTTTCTCAAGATTTTATGGACTCTGCAAAAGACTGTAAGGCAGAGAAACTGGGATCTAAGGTCTTTAGCAAACATGTCCATTGCACTGCTTGAGGCAAAGCAACGGAAGTTGGAGAGACTTAGCAACAGCTGCAGGAGTTTCCCTCCTGGCGCTGAGTGGAAGCGTGAGCTAGGCGACCCACCCGCTGGCGTCCGGCAGCCAGCGTGTGCCCGTCCCCGCCACACCCCGACGCCCACCTTGCTGGACCCCGGCCGGGTCCTACTTGTTCCCAGTCCCTCCCCACGCCACGGCCCGCCAGCGGCGCAGCGTGGCATGACAAGGGCACGAGGAACCCTCTCCTAGCCCAGGCTTACCCTTGGTCAGCGTGTCCAGCACCCCCGACTTCTCCAAGTACCTCCGGAACTGCTCGCGCTTCGAGTCGGCGGCCTGAAGAGACACCGCGGGTCAGTGGACGAAGCGCGGGGGCCGGAGCAGGAAGAAGGGGCTGGGACAACCCCGCCTCCGTCTCGCTACCTCGGGGCCCCTCAAAACTGCGCGCGCCCCGCGCCCCCCCGAAGCCGACCAACAGCTGGCTACCGCCCGCACGCCCCCAGCCGCGCCGCGCCCCCCTCACTTTGTAATGGGCCATAGCGACAGCGGCAGCGGCGTCGCTGGCGCCGGACACCGTGACTGGCGGGCTCGGAGCAGCACTGCTCATGCGCGGAAGGGCGCGCGCGCCTGCGCACTGGCCAACCACGGTCCGGAATCGAGGGGATGTGGCCGGTTTTCATGGCGACCGGGACGCTCGGAATCCCCCAGAGCCGGCTGAGCCGAGTGAGGCTGCGTACGCCCGCCCCTCCGGCTGTGGAAGCAGCACCTCTCCTTCCTTTTCCGGCTCCCGTGGCGGTTCGGTTGCTTAGCGAAAGGCGGGGTTTGGGTGACTGGGGACAAGTGTCCAGGTGGGGCCAGGTGGGGCCTGGGAGCACGAGGACTATTGCGGGAGGGAGAGTCCCCGGACCGTGGTAGTGGGCGCACCTTTCTCAACTCGGAAGCCATAGTGACCTACATATGCTGGGCTGCTTGGCCGTCTTCCCGAAGTGCGCAAGACAGACGCAAAGAGACCCTTCGATTTCGAGGGGCTTGAGGAGTGTGTCTTAGCCCCAGCTTTTACATTTGGAGTTTCCTTGATTTGTGGCTGGCTTGATGTGGGCCTCTGGAGGTTGAGGAGTAACGTGCTAATAATAGCTAGCACTTCTGAGGGCTTACTGTGTGCCAGCACTGTACGAAACATAGGTGTTTTTCATTTTAATCTTCACTACATCCCTGTAGGTAGATACTGTTAGTAGAATGGTGAGGTTAGATGACCGGCGAGTAGTAGAGCCAAGACTCCAATCCAGGCAGTGAATCAGGATGCTGTAAACTGGTGAAAGAAAGCCACGAGTCTTTTTAGGATTTTATTTACTGGATAGCAACATTAAGGTTATATTCAAGACACATCATGTTGCAGTCTGTTAAAGAAACTAAGTTATTAAGTTCTAGGGGCAAACAAAATTAATCCAGTGTCTAAAGATAAAGAATAACTAAAAGGAGGAATTATATAGATCAAGAACAATTGCCTAAGGCTAGGGTCCATTCAAAGAGAAAACCTGGTCAAACCATTTAGCCTCGATTCTGAATATGTGACTTTTCCCAAAATGAGTTTCACACATTCTGAAGGGAGTCATAAACTCATAAACAAACAAACAAACAAACAAAAAACCCTAATTTGGTAAGTCTGTGTCTAAATTTAGAGCCATCCCTTCACAATTCAGAATTAGAGCTATGTTCCATTTCTGAAATGAGTTTGCAGTTGTCTGTCTTAACAGGTGGTCTTTAGAGCAGCCCTTATCCATTTTGTGTCTGCTCTACCACCACTAGACTACTTCTCTGATAATTATGCAGAATGTCCAAAAGGCAACAGCTGTTCAGATCTGAAGGTCTGTGGAAATCCGCCTACCCATGAGGTTGTTCGTCAGGGACACTAGATGATTTGGTGGACAAATAGTAGGATTATTAGAAGTTCTGACAAACTTGGGCTCAAAGGACAACTCTCCCAAAGAATCAGAAGTTATTGGAATGTCAGGTGGTTGGGAGTGTCCCTGTGAAGGAAGGCTTCTGATTGTGCCCTCTCTTAACTGGCACTTGAGGTTACCATTAGGAGGTGACCCCTGGTTTTCATCTTCTATAGAGGGACCCCACGTAGCACTAAACCACCTTGGTTTCCAGGTGCAGTTAGCTGGCAAGGAGAAAGCTGTTTGGGGTGAATGCCCTATATGGTTGTAAAGATCTACAGCACCACCTGGAAAAGGACAGCGACCCCTAGAGTAATGGTTCCTTTTGCTGTCTTTACCATCAGTTTCTCTTTTTTCCATTAACTGGTTACCATTAACTTCTTTTCCAAATATTTTATGAGTGTCTTTGTTATTGTTTGAGCTGGTGTGTTGAAGATGACTACAGGTTGTTCTAGGTGTGTACATCTCATTAGAATCAGTTTCCTGTTCATCCAAAATGCATTTCTCGTCATTTACACTTTGATTGTCAGGATCTGCCTGAAATGCAGCAGGGTACACTGTTGTGTGCATTGGCTTTTCCACTAACAGCTTATAATCAGGTGCAGAAGGGAGTCGCTTCAGTGAATTTGGAGATGTGCTATGACATTTGGCTAGATTTTGTTTTGACTTGTTTGCACAGAAGTCATTATATTCATCCTTCAATTTATATTGTCCCCGAAGCCCTCTTTTAATCTTTTTAAAACCTAGATGGAAAATTTCTAGAATGTTTAAGAAAACTGAAATAGTGGCTATGGATTGCATAAATAAGAGGAATATTGTCTTTTCTGTTGGTCTTGAAACAAAACAATCAATTATATTTGGACACGGATGTCCATGGCATTTAAATAGAGGCTCTAAGTGAAATCCGTATAAAAGGTACTGTCCAATCATGAACCCAACTTCAACCACAGAGCGAGTGAAAATGTGTATCACATAGGTGCAAAGCAAAGTTCCTCTGAGTGGAGCTTTATTTAATTTCCTTTGCTGCAGCTGACAAATCTCTTGCTCCAGTCTCCTCCGATCCCCAGGCATTTCAGACTCTACCCACTCTAGTTCTCCTCTTAACTGAGCCTTCATCCTCTGCCTCTCTTTCTCTAGAACTCTCAGACAGTACAAAGCATGGCCCATGTAGACAAGGGATGGTGAAGACACAACTCTACCCACTCTAGTTCTCCTCTTAACTGAGCCTTCATCCTCTGCCTCTCATTCTCTAGAACTCTCAGACAGTACAAAGCATGGCCCATGTAGACAAGGGATGGTGAAGACACAAATATCACCTGCAGAACCCAGTATCTAATGAGGGAGATAGGAAAGGCCTGGTCATAGCATACGTTTCTGCAGCCTGGTTGTTGTGTATTGCAGATGAAGCCAGACTGTTCATCATTCCAGACATCTTCAGCTGCTACACCCAGAACGAGTATTCGAAATATGAACAGGATGGTGAGCCAGATCTTCCCAATCATGGTGGAGTGGACATGGACTTCCTCCAGAACACCTCCAAGAAGATTCCAGTCCCCCATGTTTGTTTAGTCAGCCGTCTTAGCTCTGAACCCCATCAAATAGGAGGCAGATAAATTCTTCCATTTTGAAAGGAGCACTATTTCTTAAAGCACACCTATGGCCAAAATACAAACAAAGCATCACTCTTTCCATGTGCTGGTTGCTTTAATTTTTCCCTAGACAGCAGTGATAATCTGTTACCAAAAATTTATTTTAAATGTCAGGAATTTTAAATCACTTATGTTTAGACATCATAATGAAAAATTTTAAAAAGTGATACCTGGGGGAGGAGGGTATGTATTCTCTATTCTGAACAGAATTGTAGGATTCTCTATCAGAAAGTTGTACTTCTTAGCTGAAGTTTGTCATTGATGTTTTATTCTTTTTTAACTGGGAACTTTTGGAGAGGTTCCTAAAACTACTGACTTAATCTTACAAACCTGTTAAGATATTTTATATAAAAGTTATAACCAAAGCCAATGTTTTCAAATCCCATTTATACACAGGTGAGCTGTTTGTAGAACCAGAGTCTATAGAGAGAAAGAACTAATGACAAAAAAAAAAAAATCCCATTTGTACACAAAAGAAAATGAGTTTGCTTCATTTGGTAATTCAGCAAGATACAGCATTTAATGAAACCAGAGGAAATAGATATGGCTCTTGCTATAGGAATTTAGATTTGTTTTTTAATCCACATTTAAATGTCTAAATTCTGGTTTCTCTCTGGCAGTTGAGCATTTTCAGAAATCCATTTCAGTAATATTTATGACAATTTATAAAATTTTTATTATAGTCATACTTTGCTATGCAAATTTTTCTAAATTTTTATCACATAAAAATGAACCCCCCAAATTCTCAACTAATTTATGGTACCAGAATGTTATTAGATATTACTTGAAATAAACTGATCATTAATGTGGTGGTGGTATTATAGAAATTTTCATTGTGACAATATTTGACCTATTTAAGACATGTAGTTTGATTTTCGAAGGAAACAGTGGGACAAGTTATAATTTAGCTGCTTGTATTATCAACCAGTAGGTGCCATATTAAGGTTGATATCCTAGGATATCCTGGGGTATATATACCCCAAAGGAAAGATAAAAAGAGTGAATGTTTTCATTTGCTCTCATTTAAAATATAAATGTATATCCTATATCCCTTATATAAAGGGAAATGTTACACAATCAAACAAAATACTAGGATACTACAAGATGTGTTCATCACAAAAATCTTCTGAGGTAAGTATGTTGTTTCCTCCATTTTACAAATGGGAAAACTGAGGCACATCTTAATTTACCCTAGGTCACACAGCTGGAGCTGGCATTCAAACCCAATCAGTGTGGCTCTAGAGTCAGCTCTTAACTATTTTACTAAACTGTTTTTTTTTTCCCTTTGAGCAAACTTGACATTTGCATGGAAGAAACATTAAGAAATCATCTATTCTCTCTTAAAAGTTTAATTATTTAAATTTAGGAATGTCAAATAGTGATAGTTATGGCTTTTTAAATAACTGGCTCTAGAGTCTTCAGTTCCTTTTTAAAGCTTTGGATAGTTAATAAGACTTGCAAAAGCATCAACCTTCTAAAATTTAGTTGTATTCCTGAGACAGAAAATTTCTATTGACTTTATTATATTAATAATAGCATACTCTGACCTAACAATCCAAAGAGCACTTTAAAATGTACCTGAGGATGTTATTCATGTTTATGATAGTCACAAATTGAAAATATCCAAAATAATTATTAATATAAGAAAGACTGCTTAAATAATGACACATCCACAGTGTGATACTATGCAATCAGTAGAAATGATAAATATACAATAATATAAAAAGACATTTGATATATTGTTTTAGTGAAATTTAAGTTATAAAATAGAATAGCATGGCCCTATTATTATAAATTTATATGCTTACAAAAAAGTCTAGAAAGATATTCATTGGAATATTAACTGCGATTATCTCTGGATGGTAGGATTACAATTGGTGTAATTTTTTATAATTATATGTATTTTAATATTTTACTGTGAACACTTTACTTTTATAATCACAAAAGAAATAAAGGATTTTCTTCTTAAAGGACAGAGCACAGTATTTCCTCAAAAAAGGAGCAGTATTATTTAGCTACAAATTAAAGCTTTCATAGCAAATAAAAAAACTAGTATACATAGATACAGTACCATACAATTCAAAAGCAAAAGATAACATCTCAAACAACTCTTTCTTTAGCTAAAATGTAGAGATAACACAAACCTTTCTCAGTGCAGGAAAATCTGAGAAACAAATATACGATGGCCGCCACCAACTTATTCTCTGAATTGTCCCTTTGCGGATGTATAGCAGATTCAGTTCAGTTCAATGCAGTAAAGTGAGTCAGCCATCAGCTGAAATCCATTTCCCTTTCTGCTCATTCATGCTTCTAAAACAGCACTGTCCAATAGAACTTTCTGCAATGTATATATTCTCTGCACTGATCAATAAGATAGCCACTAGCTACATGTAGTTATTGAACACTTGCAATATAGCTTATGTACCAGAGCAACTGAATTTTTAATTTTATTTAATTTTAATAAAAATTTAAAGAGCTACATGTACCTAGTGGGTACTTTATTGGACAGACAGATGATAACGAGTGATTTCAATATTACTAATAACACTGCAGTTTAGAAGACTAAAGTTATAAGCCCCAAATTAAGCTGAATAAATGTTTCCTCTATAATTCAAAGAAGGCAAATTTAAAATATCGGGATATTTGCGTGCTTTTTTTACTCTAATTCTTGCCACTGTGGGAACCCAATAAAATATCACTGTTTTTAGTAATGTGAGCCATGCTTCTAGTACCAAAAAAATCTTTCTTATTAGACAATAACTTCTTAGTTATCATCCTTAATAATTAGTGGGTCATCATGTCTAATTTCATAGACAAATCCTGTTTCTCTGTCTAGTTTTCTGCTATTAACCATTACATCGTGCTTTGGGTCATTAGAAGTCTCTTCAGAACTAGCAACCTGGTGGGTTGGCCATGGCAGATGAATATTTTTTTCCCTGGACCTCTTTCCCAACTAATACTACTTTTCAGATTAAATGCAAACATTTCATCAGGGAAAAATTTATACACACACACACGCACATTCATGTTTATATATTATGAATTATATAAATTATACATTATGTATAATATATAAATTATTAATAAACTGGAAAAATACTCAACCTCAGTAGTCAAGAGAAATACAAATTTAAATGAAGTATTTTTAAACTATCAAAATGCAAAAATCTCAAGATTTACTACAATACCTTCTTTTGGCAAAGTGGGGAGCATTGACCTAAAAAAAAACAACTGAGACTGAATACATACAGCAAAGATTAATCCCTGTACTGGACAGCTGCCAAAACAAACAAATACATATAGCAAAGTTTATCGAGCCAGTATGATGATTGCAACCTGGGAGACATAGATCAGGTAGCCCTGAAATGCGTTCCAAAAGGGGCCTGCAGAGCTTAGCATTTTATAATCACAAGAAAGGAGAATGGTCGAAGGAGAGAGAGAAAAAGACAGCCCCATGTAAGTATTTATCGGGCTTTCTATTGGTAGTACATGACATAAAGATTTGGGATTGTTATTATGTTACATCCTACATGCAGAGTTCTAGGGTAAGGATAATAAGTATTCTACGTTATTTTATGGCTTTCTGGTGCCATTATGACTGCTTCTAAGTAAAATGCTCTTATGATAACATGTTCCAGGACAGGTGGACATGATAACTGACTTATCCCAGATCTCCCAAGGCATTATATAATGTAGCGGACCTGGTTAGAGAAGATTCTTTTGTTTATCAGGGGAAACTGTTACTCTCATATACTGTAGGTAAGATTATAAATGGAATCAGCTGTTTAAAAGGCTGTAGAAATCTATCAAAATTAACATAGTATTTCTGCTTCTGGATGCTTGAAATATTCAGCAAACACACTCAAAGACACACCACATGTACTAGAATGTTCACATAGCTCCGTTGGTAATTGTACAAAGTCAGCAACAATGTAAATGTCCAAGAGAAAAATGGTTAACTATAGTACATCTGTATCATTCGGCAACTTAAAGAGTAAAGATCTCCATCACTAAGTCATATTGTAAAGCAAGTTACAGAACAATACATGAATCTCATTTATGTTGCTATAGCCTACATTTTGTAAGTATATTTAATTAGCTAAAACAGAGAGATGAACAGAAAACTTTCTTAATTTAGGTAAATCTGAGAGGCAAATCATGCTTAGAAGGAGTTATACCATGGACACCTTCAATTTGTTCTCCAAATTTGTCCCTTTAGGGTATAGAGCAGACTCAGTGCAGTTCAATGCAGTAGATGAGTCAGCCATCAATTTAAGTTCATTTCCCCTTCTGCTCATCCTATATAGAAAAAATCTGTAAGAATACACACCAAGCTGTTGACAGTAGTCATCACTAGGGAAAAGAGCAGGTTTTGGGTAGGAATATAAAAGGAACTTTTATCTTTTAAGTTCTTATTTGAATCTTTGTTTAACCAAGAACATACTCATATCCTCATACTTAAATTTAATTTTTTAAGCCCTGTTGGGAAAATAGAATAATCAGGCCCCCTCATCTTAGGTATGGTTGGGGGTGGTGCAGCGCATTCTTTGTAAGCAAATTGTGTGTGGGTGGGTGGAGTTAGTGCACATGTGTGGTGCTGCGGCCTCGGGCATCCACCGTGCACAGCCTTGCTCTCCAACCTACAGCTTCCAAGGACCTTTTGGCCAGTTACCTAGCTCATAGACCTGCTTGTGAGAGGTCTGGTGAAGGATTTGTGACCCAGTCTGGACAGTGGGCTTGAGAGGTCTGTGAGCTCCACACCCAGCCCTAGCTCGACAATTGGCCCAGTCAGCAGGATAACAGGCAGGTAAAAGACCTCGACAACCCTAGATCAGTAACATGTTTAGATGGGTGTTTAATAAATACATTCATGATGAAAGAAGAAAAAAATTTATTTCCTGTGTTCTGGTGACCTAAAACTACTATTTCAGAAAATAGAAAGATCAGCAGTCTGGATTCTGTACAGAAAAAAGACACAGGCTTCTCAGCTTTCAGATATGACATTTTACCTTTTGTAAATAAATACTTCCCATTCCTAGGAGACTCACTAGCCACATGAAGGATGAGAATCTTATTACAGATGAAAATCCACAGAGTCCAGATACATAGCGTGCACCAGAAAGCCAGTTCCAGGTTCCTTATAATATTAAACACACTATTGGACTTAAACTAGCCGTCCAGAAAATTCTCAGTCTTCTGTAAGATATTTCTACCATTCATGGTGTACCCACATATGTTTGTTCCTATATTCCTATGATATTCTAACTTTCAGTATTTGGGGAACACAGCATTGTTAGACCAGTAGGGGAGAGTATGGGCTTTCAGGTCATTATCTATGTTTAAATTCTGCCCCCTCCCCTGACAAGTATGTCATTTTTTAAAAGTTTTCATATCCTTATCTCTAAGATAGAGAATAATAACTACCTTTATGGGTTGCTGAAAAGATTAGCAATAAAGTACATAAAGCCCCTCAAACAGTAGTGATCTATCTACTCAAACAGTGATCTTTTTTTTTTTTTTTTTTTTTTTGGCCAGTAAGGGGATCATAACCCTTGGCTTGGTGTTGCCCGCACTGCGCTCAGCCAGTGAGCA